AATATGAGACAAAGATATAGGGATGGTGTGCATGTAGCTTTGTGCATCTTTGCGGTGTAATGACCCCTTGTTTCTTCATTTTGGTGCTTCAAGCCATCCCTATATCCCCCTTTCATTTTGAAGAAATGATTTTTCCACTTGTTATAATTATAGCTAACCAAGCCCATCATTTTTACATGTTCCTATTTCACATCAATCATTAGAAACTTTCATTGTTGTTCACCACCACTTTTAACTTTTAACCAGCATGTGGTACAAGGTGTTGACAAAATTTTGGAATGGAATTGGAACTTGTTGCACATGGTGCTCTGTCACTGGCAACCGCCAGAGCTATAGGTAGCTAGGAAGTGATTTAAACTGGTTGATGCACAAGAGGATTTATATTCAACAGCAGAGCGCTGGCTGGAATGAAGATGCATAACTACATATCTGTGCCAGCGCTTATCTATACATTACTCATGTGTAGGTGCTGCTGGGAAATCCTGTTTCAGTATGACGGTGTTGATCACATGCCACACAAAACTGTAAGGGTCCAGTGCCCAATTGAAAAAGAATTGTATACAGTAAGCATACAAGAAAACACCGATTGCATCTACAGTTTGTGATGTGAAGTACAGAAAACCTTGGTTGCTCTTGTTCCTTGTTCTACAAATAGAAGAATTAAGTTAAGTAATTGTTTGTCTGTGGATGTTATACCTGGAGTATTAGCAGCACATTGCCACGAGTATTGCAAAAAATGTCAAAGGAAACACAGTGCGTAAGCCAGTCCCACCTGCATCTGTAGTATAAAAAAGGCATTGCTTTGCCGTAAGGAAAACATGTAGAGTGGGAATATAATATGCAGAGAAAATGTCCATGACAAGCAACAAAAATCTTTTTGGAAAAGCAGCCTTGGTACTGTCCACAATAATAATGAACACCACGGACTTTTACCAAAAAAGGTAGTTGTGCATGGTCAAATGTTGTGTAATCTCTTAAGGTGGTGGTTCAGGCTTGCAACACACAGGAGGTACTCTAAAAACAACATGACCACAACTATTCGTTGACGAATTACCTAGTATACAGAGCTAACATACGGGGTGGTAGCAGATAATTTATATTCATTGTCGTATCCCACACGTTTCAGTGTGGTAATGTTTGGGGACAAAATATTGCGCGCATGGGGTGTCGTATCCACGTAAAACCAACGTGAACGCACTCAAAAGTTTCTGAGCATTGCAGCAACGTATTATAGTCCCGGTATGTCACAAAATGTGGTCAATACGCCAGCTTGTATGTAGCGCATTTTGTCGTATTATGCATCTTTCGTGCTTAACTATTTCTGTAAGCGTGCGTTGCTAAAACGCATACGTCGCCACAAATAGCGCTAAGAGTGCGTGTTTATCAATTTTTGGCAATTTTAGGAGCATGCTAGAAGCAGATAGTTTGCCCCCGAGACTTGCTTAGGTGCTTGATTTAAAACTTGCTCTTGCTCTTGTTTTAGTATCTATTCCAGAGATATGCAGATATTGGGAAAGTGCATGAATAATACTTAGTTTCTTAGCATAGGTATATATTTCCAACAAAGGAAATGGGCTGTGAATTGTCGCATACTCCCAGGTTAGAAGGGTGAACCATCACCTGAAGTGTTGCAATATGCAAAATTTAACAGTATGGTTTTGATGCATCTAAGTGAATCTTCTACAAAAAAAAATGTCGAAGCCTAAAGTACTCTGCACAGCATAACTAATTACCAGTTCTGTTTTCTTGATTTTCAGCACCAATAGCAATTGCAGGCATTGAAGTGGGACATGAATGTGCAGAAAATCCATCCAATACACTTTCACCTGGTTTTAATTTCTCCATCGTCCCAACATTAATAACAAGTACTTTTTCTGTGGTAAAGTGCTGACCACAGTGATCAAATGCTGTCAGAGCAATTCCATAACAGTTTGCAAACTCCACACGAAGTGAATAATTCCTTTCATTCCTTTTGGCGAATGCATTGATCACCACTCCACTTTTTCCATTTATGACAACTATAGCAAAGTTCTGAACATCGGACATATTTGTAGACCATGTAAAAGACAGCACATTGGCCGAGACTTCTGCATCTTGTATTTCAACAGAACCACCAACTATAGGGAGGTGAAATGTAAACATACACATGGTATAAAATATGCTAAGCTGGGTCAGTGTAACAAATAACATTGTAAGCGGGCATAGCTAACCAGAAGCATCACAGTGACTTGAACGCCTGATAAATGAAAGGCACCGAAGTGCAAACCCTCGGCGCAGTAATAATAGTGAACACACACGCACAATATGGGTGGGGCAATGGTGTCGCCAGGTCTGGTAGTACTTACTGGTGCTGTATTTAGGTTCATTATTCTTTCCTCCCAAGCCTGACCTAGTGAGCTACACGCCTTAGTTGGAGGCATACTTACTGAACTCAACCGTCTTCTCAGTCTAGTCTCACAGAGAAATGAGGGAAAACAAAATGGCTGCTGGCCACGTGGTCCCAATCAGCATGCGCCGCTTTGGCCGCCTGCCACCTCGGAGTCGTGTGCGTTTTGGTGTATACACACATGCGCGTTTTTAAAATGGCTGCCCTTGCCGTACCATACGAACAGGCTCTGCAACGAAGCAGTTTCAGAGAAAATCCCACATATTTTCTGATCTCCGTCGGCCGTTGGGTATGTAAACCCGTTTTGGACGCGATATAACTATGACTGGAGAAGTGAGTTCTCACTTAACTGACAGAATGAATGAATGACACACACGTACCCTCGCTGCGCATGTGCGCCAAGGGTTAATTACCTGCAATACATCCACCGTGCTCAAGTACCTCTCAAGATTACATCTTTGCAACCATTGCTACATGCAGATGATGTAAATGTACACCCTCATCCCAAAGTGTCACTGCATCTCTGTCTTGTCTCCATTACAAAATACCATTAGTGACGTTATTACCTGAGACGCTATTCTTACACTAGTACTACAAACTATCACAAAGCTATAGGATCAAGCACCAGTGTCTAGGGTACCACTAAGTTAGAGGCACAAACACCATTAATCTGTTTCGGTTAAAACTTACCATGGTGCATCAGTGTACAAAGAGAGGACCCAGCATAAGTATGAACACTTATCACTGCCTGAGGCGTTTTGGGTTTTTTTGTTTTAGTGAACTGAGGTGAACTCTAATCACAGTGTACATTATAAGTGTACTTGTTAGAGCTGTCACTGAGTGGCACTTAGTAAGAGGGTGTACATTTACATCATCTGCATGTAGCAACGGTGGATGTACAAAGTGTGTGACCTCATCCCTCCCTCTCTCCCTCTCTTTCTTCGTCCTTACTTCATTTCCTTTTCTTAGCTCTGTAGTCATGCACTGCTTCCTGCTAGAAGACAGAGAACGTGAGAAAGGACTGCTCCAGAAGCTCCGTTTGCCGTCCGCATGCTTGGACACTTTTGAATTGAAGGCGTGGCTTCCATGGCTTTAAGTACCAATTCTCGAAAACCATGTGATTTAGAAAGCCTCGGGGCCTCTAGGAGCGTCCTCACTAGGGCTCGGACAGCTACAGCCCAAGAACACGCAGCTCTATAAATATGCATAATTTCCTCGAATTGGTGTCGATCATACTAAAAGGCAACGCCCTCCGCCATTCAGTGACAACTTTTCTTTGACCCTTGTCTTTTCCTTTGTTGCTGGAGAACTCCATGCAGCACAACACAATTAAGTACACAGTAGTTGCCTCTCAAGATGGAGGAAATAGATTTATATGTATGCAATTACTACTGGCTGCATGGTACACTGTGTATTTATGTCATAATCTGAACACAATTACATACCTTCCATATCCAATAATACTGATGCAGTCTTGGATGAAGCTGTACAGGTAACTTCCATTTCCCCATGATCAACAACAGTTTTTCTGATCAAATCAGTGTGCAACTGCACTTGTGAAACGTAAGTAACAAGATCACCATGTTCCATCTCTACATTCTCTTTAGTGAGAATGAAATTCACTCCGTCTATAATCGTGTGACCAAGTTTGTCCAACAAGGTGAAAACGACAGGATCGCGTATTAATGGGGTCACTGTCCAGGAGAATGAAAAACTCTCCTTTACGATACACTCCACCACAAAGAGGTAGTTGTCATTAGGACAGATAGTTGTGAATGCTTCATTAGTGTGAGGACCAAACACTCGCAGTTTTACATCAGTGCCAGAAGCACCTGTATACAAATAAACAACTACAGTAATTGCGAATGCAGTCACTTTTTTGTATACAGTATTCCCTTGATCAGACGCCGCAGCTAGTATTAACTTTGGTGCGCATATATTGACATATATTCAAGGGCAGTTCTTGCACCTCATAGAGACAGCAGTGTGAAAGCAGTGTCATGAGGCCTCAAAGTGTTTTCGTCAACTATTAGGGGCCTTCTATCAGAGAGCAGCACTGCAGATTGCCGCTGCCTTTGTCGCTGCTCTCACTCAATCGATGCTACACACTGTACACATGCACAAAGTACGGCTACTAGTAAAGGGTGGCTACCATTACGTTAGTCCAGAGCTACATGCAGCTGGAAGTCTTCCGTAGTAGACATTTGAACGACAACCAGAGCTGTTTATTAAAAATAGTGGTAAGAAGTGGGAAAAAAATATAATTTCTTCAAAATCAAGGGGGACATGGGAATGGCTAAAAACACGACGAAAGAAGGAACAAGTGGTCAAGACACACAACATCATCCATCTTTGTTCTTTTTCATAGGCACAGATAGGGATGGTGTCAAATAGCATTGCATGTCTTTGATGTGTAATGACCCCTTTTTTCAACATCAAGCCATCCTTATATCCCTTTCATCTCGACTTGTTCTATGTTGAAATGGCAGCAACCAGTCAAATAACAAGCAAAATGGAATTCATTAGTGACAGGGGTTGGCACAGCAATTGGAGGGAGGAGGAAAAGGAACATCGAGAAAGGAGAGAGGGATTCAGGAGTTATGATTTTCGTGACAGTTGAAGGTCTGGAGAAGAACAACAGCTTTATCCTGGAGAGCACTTTTGGTGACACTTCCACCAGTGAGTTTAGTATAATTATATTCATCAGGTTTTTCATGCATATGCTAGTGATCCCATCTATGAATATTGCCACTGACTGTATAGCTAGCTAGCTTTAGACCGGATGAATCTGCATAGCTGATATTTGTGTGTTTCTACGCAGCATCACAAGTCAGTTCAACAGTAAATCTGAGTGTGGCACTAAAACGACTAGCACTGCAGTATTTCTGCAACTTTAAGTCCATAAGAGTCTAGTATGTGCTGGCCTCATGATTGTGTTCTTATGAAAGTCCACTCTGACCTTAGTAACTGATGGGCTCAAGCACAGCCACCTATAATGCTACAACAGAGATTCAACTATCTTGCATGACAGTTTTATGCTGCATGACTGCTTGTAGAGCTACAACACTCTTAGTCCCTCCTGGAGGAAACCTTATACACTGTGGGCGTTATCAACTCAAAAACGGGGCAGACCATAGCTGATAACTATAAGCTGATAAAGAGAGAGGACTCCTGGCCTCACAAAGCTGGTGTGATGTTTTTCTTATGAAGTATTTGTAGTACTGTATATACATAGAGCGTCTACCGACGCTCTGATAGGAATAATGTTGTGGCCAAACCTGTCATTAGTATCATAGTTTGTGGCCACAAAGTTTTCTGTGCTGGCAGATTTGTAACCAAAGACACACAAGTTATGCAAACATGCAGAGGGATATATTTAAAGGCTTACCAGATGTTGCCAGAATCACATATGCAGATGTTGCCAGAATCACTGAGAGCTGCTGTCAAAACAGAAAGAATGGTTAATAAGGAAGCTTCCTTCCCCTTCCCCAGTGATAAAGATTTAACAGTTGACAGTTTGCAGCTCGTTGGAAAATATGGAACAGGAACGAAAATCATTGAACTGTCTCGTGCAAGCTAACTGGCCATCCTAGGAGCTACAAAATATACTCCACAGGTATATACTAGTCGAGTCTGCGACACGCGAAGAGCTCATGCATTTGGTGCAATTCCTGGTACAAGCCAGTTAAAGGACTGTTCATACTCGTTAATCCTTGAGCAGGGAGGGCTACAGTACTTGGTTTATAGCTATAGTGTGTGTGTGTGTGTGTGTGTGTGTGCGTGTGCGTGTGCCTCTCTGTCTGGCTGTCTATTACAACATCTTTGCCACAATGTGCAACGAGACAACAAAAAGTGCTACGAAAAGGTTCAGCACTACACTGGTTTGGTTTTAAATTAGGCGAATTTCGTAAGTACTGCGTTCGAGATTTAGGGCGTGAACACCTGTAGCTACAGGTGTACCTTGGCCATCGGTCTGAGGCACCAGTATAGTT